AACCCCCCCCCCCCCCCCCCCCCCGGCACCCCAACACAGGCCAGTGGCGGCTGCGGGCGCTCACCCGTGTCTGGATCCTGGCCCCAGCGGATGTGGTAAAGGTGCCCCGCCGGCGACTGAATGAACTCTGCCCCGATGGGCACCTTCACCGCCACGCCCTCCTCCTCCAGAGCCAGCGTCTCGTGCCGCCCCTCCAGCTGCAGGGCGGGGCAGGGCAAGGGCAAGGGCAGGGCGGGGCGGGGCAGGGCAGCACACGTCGGCGCGAGGCTCGCGCGTTCCGGCAGTGGGCAGCAGGGAGGCGTGGCAGGCGGCATCCCTGGCCCTGGCGGCACGCAGGGCGCTGGCGGCACACGCGTGCTCCCGGTGTGCAGCTGTGGGTGTTGACTGCAACAGCAACCGGCCCACCTGTGCCCACTCCAGCTCCGCCTTGCGAGCCACCGTGAGGAACACCTCCTCCAGAGGGGTCAGCCGCAGCTGCACATCCGCCACGCCCAGCGCCGAGGCGTGTGCCTGCGCGGCAGCAGCAGCAGCGGGCACGTCTGCTCCCAGCACCAGGCAGCTGGCCCAGCGGCTGGCAGCGCGGCTGGCGGCGGTCGGGGCGCCGCGCCCGGCAAGCGCCCTGGGGTGCGAGGACCGCATGTGCCGGACAACGGGCGGCGGCAGGCCGCGCGCGTGGCAGGCTGCAGCAGGGGCCGGCAGCCCCGCAGCCCCGCGTATGCCTGCCTTGCCTTGAGGTGGGAGAAGAGTGCGGGCAGCCGCCCCTCCAGCTCGTAAGGCACCAGGAAGTGAAGGTAGTCGAGGGACTCGTCGCCTGCACAGCGTGACCACAGCGTGACCATGGCGTGACCACAGCGCAGCGTTGGCAGCGCAGCGGCCAAAGGCAGCGCATGCAGCCAGGGGCAGGCGGCTGCACCCCGCCGCAGCTCTGCAGCAGCTCGGCCTGCTCACTTGGCTTGATACCCAGCTGCGCGGCAAAGAGCGCCCGTACGCCGGCCGCCTGGCGGGCCGCCGCTGGGTCGCGCTGCCGCGTCTCCCCCGCCGCCGCAGCCGCAGCAGCCTCCTCCTCCCCCGCTAGCAGAGGCTCTGGCTGGATCTCTCCCGACTCGGTCGGCAGGAGGCCGCGCTGTGCCCCGCTGCTGAGCGGCAGCGGCCCGCCGCCGCCGGCCCAGGCGCCCGCAGCGGCGGCGCCGCCGCCCTGCACCCGGATGCTGACTCGGTAGCCGCTGCCGAAGCGTGCCTTGAGGCGCAGGGAGTTGCCGATGCAGCGAAGGCGGCCGCGCGCCATGATGCCAATCCTGCACAGCGCGGCTGCAGCGGCTTCAGAGCCCGCGTGCGTCGCAAGGCGTGCCGCGCAGCTGCCGCGACCTCCACCACCACCTCTCCCTCTGGTGCCAGCAGGGCCGGCTCCCTGCTGGGCCAGCCCTGCTGGGAGTCCCAACCTGGTGCAGGGGCCTGCCGAACCGCCGGCCCAGCGCCCTCAGGGCGCTGTACCCCCCCCTGTGCTGTACCGCCCCCTGTACCGTACCGCCCACCTGTCCCCCAGAATGTCGGCTTCCTCCATGGAGTGTGTGGTGAGCACAATTGCGCGGTCCCGCTTGGCACGATCCACCAGGTCCCACAGGTGTCGCCTGCGGGGTGGAAAGCGACAGGCAGTCGATGGCCGGCAGCAGGTAGCCGGTGGCCGACGCCGTCGCTCCACACAAGTTGCGCAATGCCTTGGGGAGGTGAGGAGGCAGGGCGGGGAGCAGGCAGAGCGGGCGATGCACGGTGCGGCGGCACTGTCAAGGCCGGGCTGGGCCTGCAGCGTTACCGGCAGTACCAGCGGTACCAACAGCTGCTGCTCACCTGCTGATGGGGTCCAGCCCGGTGGTGGGCTCATCCAGGTAGACCACCTGTGCAAGGGGCAGCCAGCCAGCAGCAAGCCAGCAGGGGTGAGTCATAGTGGGAAAGCAGTGGGCAGTAGAGCAGCCAGCAGCAGGCCCCCACGCATGGAGTGACCCTGTGTCTTGCCTGCCACCTCCCACCCCTGCTGCACCCCGTGCTTCCTTCCCTGCTGTGATGCGCAGATGCGGCATGCTTTCCACCCCACCTGCGGGTCGCCCAGCAGAGCGATTGCCACGCTCAGCCGCCGCTTCATGCCGCCGCTGTACGCGCCAGCCCGCACCCCGCCCGCCTCCCCAAGCTTCACCTCCTCCAGCACCCGCTCCGCCTCGTGCCGCCGCTCAGACGCGGGCAGGCCTGCAGCGTTGGCAGCAGCGGCGCGAGGGCAGCGCTGCCAGGTGTGGGCTCCGATACGGCCTCCGTCTTGCCTGCCCGATTGCGACCCGCATGGAACAACCTGGCCATGGCAGGCGCAACTGTCAACGATGAAGTGTGCACGCAAGCACCACGCAGCCCACCTTTGATGGCGCCGAACAGCAGCAGGTGCTCCGCCCCAGTCAGCTGCTCCCAGAGCACATCAAACTGTGGGAAAGACAGAGGGCAGGGAAGGGAGATGGTGTGTGGGTGGCTGGTACCCCGGTGGGTGTGGAAGCAGTTGGGGGTGGGTGGTTGGAGGGCCTGAGGAGCGCAGGAGGCAGCCCGCTGCAGCGCTGGCCCGGCCGCCTGCCGGCTGCAGACACCATATCGCAGCAAAGGTGGTGAGCCGCGTGGAGCGCAGAGCCCGGCGCGCCGCGGCGAGGCGCGCCTGGGGGCACACGCCCATCAGCGGCCGTACGCGGTCCATGCCGCCCTCGCTTGCGATGCTCTCGCCGCACACCAGGGCATCGCCTGCAGGGCAGGCGGCAGCAGTCGGCAGGCAAGATCACTGGAACCGCCACCCACGGAGCCATCCGGGGAGGCCCAGCAGGGCTCTGGCATGGCACAAACAGCACGGCGCGGCTCGGAGGGTTCTTTCCAGTTGGCCCTCCCCATGCCAGCCCCACCATCCGCCACCACCGCCTCTTCACGCGCGACCCCACACACACCTGCCGACAAGGGCAAGGCGCCGACGAGGCAGTTTATGGTTGTCGACTTGCCCGCACCGTTGGGACCCAGCAGGCAGAAGCACTCGCCTGCAGGACAGCGCGAGGCGTGCCAGCAGGCGCGTGGGCGTGCATAAGGGAGGCAGGGAGGCAGCGCAGTGTAATGAGCATGTGCTGCGTTCATGGTCAGCAAAACTCTGGAAACGCCAGAAGGCAGGCAGGCAGGCAGGTAGGCGGGCTGGCAGGCGGGCAGGCGGCCATGGGGTCCCTCGCCTTGGTGCACGCCCAGCCAGTTGCCAGCCACCGCCACAAACGGCTTGCGGCGCAGCGCCAGCACACCGCGCTGCACGCGCGGGGCGCAGCAGGCAGCAGGCATTGGAAAAGCAGGGATTCGGGCAGCTGCCTGCAGGTGCGGCGCTGTCCGGTGGGGTGCCGGCTGTGGGCGTCACGGGTGGGAGAGCGGAAGGAGAAACTGAGCAGCTGCACACATCAGCTCCCAGGCTGCCCCAGCACACCAACCTTTGCATACTCCTTGCGTAAACCCCACATCTGCACCGCATACGGCCGCCCCTCGGGCTCGCCGCTCCCGCCCTCCGCGCCGCCCGGCTTGGTGGGCGAGGCGGCGGCCGGGGCTGGCAGGCCCGCCGCGGCAGGCAGCCCCACCACCTCCTCGTACGCAGGCAGGGTGGCTGCCTCGGCAGGCAGCAGCACGCCACCGCCCTGAGCGCACAGGTGCGCGGCGCAGGCGCGGCGCTGGCGCTGCGCCTCGGCCGCCACGTCAGCATCGACGCACAGCCCCTGCTCCGCCTCGGTGGGGGCCGCCAGCGCGGCGGCGGCCGCCCTGAGGCTGCCGCGCTGCAGCGGGGAGGCGGGGAGGCACCCCGGAACTGTTTCAGCTCATCCGCGCCGCACCCACACCCACCCGCCTAAACCCACCCGCACACCACCACCACCACCCCCTCCCAACTCACCCCAGACCCCCGCCACCAGTAGCCCGGCAGCAGGAAGAACCAGGGCGGGCGGCGCACGCCGTTCGCGTCGGGCAGCACGGCATCCAGGTAGACCGCCAGCAGCATGAAGCCCGCGCACTGCACGTGCGTGGCGGCGGGAAGTGCGGCGGGCACGCGGGGCGAAAGGTGTGGATCGGCGGCGTGGAAGAGGGCCTTGTGCATCACGAACGAATGAGGAATGGACGTGATTTTGTCTGCCGCGTGAGCACATGCCGTCCTGTCCTGCCAGGGCGTACCGCCAGTACCCACCTGTACCGCCAGCACCCAGTACATCTGGCCCAGCGGCATCACGCAGTCCGCCTGCCAGTAGCTGCCCGCCAGCTGCACGCCGGGCGCCAGCGTGGCGCCTCGCTGGCAGTAGGCGAAGCGGTCGGCCCAGGGGATGCCGTGGTGCCGCCCTGCAAGCAGCCGGGCATGAGCTGTCTACTAGACAGTACCCTGGGTAGTACCCAGGGTCCAGACGCTCATGCCAGCCGGACATGAAATGTCTGCCCAGAGTCCAGATGCTGATGCCAGGTGGACAGCCAGCAGCATGCGGTGCCACCGCAGCAGCCACACGCCCGACCGGCAGCCCCCCAATGCCCGGCGGCGAGGCGCCCAGCGGCAGGCCGCGGCAGCCTGCGGGCAGCGGGCAGGCCTGCTGTGCTGCACCTGAGGTGGCGTCTGCCAGATCCTGCACCCCCTTGGACAGCAGGCTCCAGGGCATGGCGCTGAAGGAGGCGATGGCGGCGGTGCTGTAGCTGGGGCTGTAGGGGAAGCCAAAGGCGATGACGATGAGGATGACCCAGGCCACCACAAACAGCAGGAAGCCGGCGGGGACCGCGGCAGAGGCCTGCGTTGCATGGCGGCGGCACACAGCTTGACATTGGTTCGCACGCGGACCGGGGCTGTGTGTTTGCAGCGCCAGCTACGCCCAGCTGGCAGCCATGCCAGCCACCCCAGCTTGCAGTACCGCACCTTTCTCAGGAAGGAAGCCACGAAGAAGCCAAAGGCGGTCATGGCCAGGGAGACCAGCAGGAGGAGGAGGAAGGAGAGCCCAAAGGCGTTGTGCGTGAACTGCGCGCAGAGCAGGCAGGTAGCCAGGGGACTGGGCGCGGCCTTGGCGGTTGCCGCTGGCAGTTACAGCATGTCGGTCCGTCGGCTGGCCAGCATTGCAAGGTATCTTGACGGGCCGCTGCAGCTGCTGGCAGCGAGCCAGGCAGTCATAGATGGGGTAAAAAAGCGCATGCAGAGCTCAATGGGCAAAGCTGTGTGCCGTGTGCTGTGTGCTGTGGACTGCGGGCTGGCGCCAGGGCCTCACCAGCTTGAAACCGAAGGCGCAGCCAAAGCCCACCAGCAAGCAGGCCTCCACCACAGCCAGCAGGCCCTGGAACAGCGCCCAGCTGGCCCAGAAGGGGGCCTGCCTGCGGGGCGGTACAGGAAATGCAGGCGGGACCATGGTGAGCGGTACGTGCCACCTGGCGCTTGACGCAGCTATTGCTGTTGGACCTATGCTGTCACACTGCCGCTGCCGGCTCGGACGCTGCTGCCTCCAGCCACACTGCTGCGGCTGCCCCCGCTGCCACCCTGGCCCACCCACGTTGGTCGGCTCCACCACACCACGCCCACCTGAGACCCATGGCTGCCATCATCTGCCGTGCCCGCCCCTCCTTCTCGGCCACCACGTCGTGCACCAGCAGCACAAACTGCGGGGGAGGCAGATGGGGAAGCCAACGGGGCACAGAGTTTGCCGCCAGAAGCTGCACCCTGCGTGGGCTGGTGCGGCAGCAGCTGCTGAAGCACTGGATGGGGTCAAGGCATCATGCATCCAGACGGAAAAGGGGGGGGGGGGGGGGGGGCAGAGAGAGGGGCCCCAGGGCCTCACCTGGAACATGATGGAGGCGAAGAGGAAGGTGGGCGCAAACCGGCCAATCATGGAGGCCGACTTGGCGGCGGGGTGCGGGAACTGGGCCAGGCTCACACCCCAGCTGCAGGCGGGGCAGGCCGGTGGCGCCAGGCAGGCTCGAGGGCAGGGGTTGGGCAATGCACAGACCCTAGAGGGCTGGCAATGGAAGCAGGCGGCATGCATGGGCAGCACGGCAGCGTGGCGCAGGAAGGCAGCAGGCCAGCTAGGGGTCCTTTCTCATGCCTGAGGCTGTCGTTGCCGCTCATGTACCGCACAATCTCGCGCTCCACCGCCACTTGGAGCGGCAGCTGCAGGAGCCCAGCAGGGAGCAGTCGGCGGCGGCCGGGAGGCAGCGCGGTCAGGGGGTGTGGTCAAGGCAGGAGGCAGCAGGTGAGCGAGCGCACGCAGTTGCGGTGCAATTTGAGGCCTGGGCTGGTGCGTCATGCAAGGCATGCACACTGCCAGCCCCTCCACACCCGCCGCACCTGCATGTATGTGTTGGGGTGCTGGTACTTGCCCTTGAACCACTGCACGCTGCTGTTGGTCTGCACCAAGAAGCCCAGCTGGCGCACCGCCGGCTGGCGCCCGCCTGGCGCCACCTCAGCCAGGCTGACGCCGGCAGGGGCGCTGCCGTATCCACCAGTCCCCAGGGCAGCGTCCGGCATGGCGGCTGAGGCGGCATCAGGCATGGCAGCGGCACCGTTGCTGCCGTTCAGGGCCCAGCCGGCGCCGGCGAGGCTGCTGCCGTTGGCGCTGCCGCCAACTGTCGGCAGGCCTGCGCCGCTGGCGGCGCCTCCCGCGCCTGCGGCGCTGGCGCTGGCAGGAGAAAAGATCACCGCTGCCAGCGCCTGCGAGCAGGGCCAGCAGGGCGCCAGCAGCAGCTTGATTCGTCCCCACGAAGCAGCGCGTACCTGCCTGCCTACCTGCCGCGCGCACACACACACACACACACACACACACGCACATCCAGCTGCTCCCGCCAGCTCACCGTCTCAGGGTGCTGCAGCAGCCAGGCATCAATGGCGCTGGCGCTGGCCAGGCCCAGCACCCGCCCCGGCGGGATGGGCGGCTCATTCCGCTCCCTCACGCCCCGCACCACAGCCTCCACCGCCGCGTCGCCCTGCAGGCCGGGGAAACAGCGGCACCGACTGTATTTATCCTAGCAAAAGTGTGGGCTTGTGTGGAAGGGTGGAGGGGTGGAAGGGTGCTGTGGAGCAGGGCCACCCTGCGCCACTGCACTCTGTATGTAGTGCAGGTGTGAGTATGGGAGCGAGTGGAGAAGGCACTCGGGACTGGCACTGTCTCCAGATGCAGGCAGGTGGCGAATCAGAGTGGCGGCGCACCGTGGGGGCATACAGGAAGGTGTAGCAGGGCTGGCCCGCCCGCATGAAGAGGTTGGCGGAGCAGTCGGGCACAGGCCCCGCCGCCGCCGCCGTTGCCACCTCCACCCGGCTGAAGGCGGGGCGGCTCTGACGGGAGGCAGACACTGCAGGCCGGCGGGGAGGCGAAGGGGCACGGAAGGCGAGGCCGGGGGCTGAGCTCGTGCGGCAGCAACATGGCGCATGGCGGCGGCTGGCCTCGCCCTCTGCACCGCGCGGCGCGCTGCGGGGGAGCAGCGCTTCCCGGCACGGCGCCATGCAGTACAGGGACTGCAGTACAGGGACTGGGCTTGCCTGCCTTGTCAACCGCCCAGATGAGGACGATGAAGAGCACGGCCTGGGCGATGAGCAGCAGGTTGGTCCTCCAGGCACGCCGCCTGCGAGTGCGGGGACCACACAGTCCCGTTTTAGGGTTTCCATGTCTGGCCCCAGCGGAAGCAGAAGGCTGGAGCTGCGCCGGCGGGCAGTGGGGCGGGGCAAGACGCCAGCTGGCCTGCAGGCGTCGCCTTGCGCCCAGGCCAGGCCAACCCACAGCCACAGCATGCCATCCTGACTGTCTCGCCTGATGATGAAGTTCTTGCGTGTCAGCGCCACCAGCTGCTGCCACTGCAGGGCCGCCCCCGTCGCCAGGCGCGGCCGCTGGCGCACCTGCGTCGGGCGCAGGCAGGCGGAGTCATCCAGGCTGGAGAATGGCTGCTGCGCCCAAAGCTGGAAGCATCTGGGACCGCAGCGACACATGCAGCATCCAATGTATGCCCGCAGCAACCCACCTGTAGAGTTGGTGTGTCCTTGCGTGCCAGTTTGGAGGCACTCAGCGGCACCGACAGCTCCGCGATGGGCGCCGGTGCTGCGCCGCCCCTGCCGCTGCGCGAACTGCTCGAGGTGCCGCCGCTGCTGGTGCGTCGGCCGCTGGCATCGGCGGTCAGCTGGTAGCCGGCCGGCTGGGTGGCTGGGCCGCCCATGGCCACTGCTCTTCCCCACGTGCTAGCGTGCCGCCACGCGTGGATGGCAGCGACGGCGGGGGCACCGGTGCGCGGCCTTGTAGTCGCCGCCGATGGCACCAGAGGAGCCCTGGCGGTACAGCAAGCTGCTCTCGATCCTTAGAGGGGCGGGTCCCTCGCTCCAAGGCGCGCCCCCGAGAGTGTGGGCGCCTCGCGATTGCCGCCAGGAGCTCCTCGCGCGCTCGTAAGCTCTGGTTTAACTCGAAAGAGAAGAGGGGTGTCAACAAGCTCAGGCGCAACAGCAGGTGTCTGTGCATCGCTGGCGCAGCAGGCGCGCCAGGCGCCGCCGCCCGACCGCCTCCACACTGTAAAGCAAAAAGCGAATCAAATTGACATCTGAATAAATAGGTCATTGATGAAGATCAACAGTACACAGAGTAATCATTTACACTGCCAATTTTGGCCCCGAGTAGCATGACGCTTGCACCACCTGCTCCTCGCCGATGTGCCGCTGGCCTGACTGCTGCTGGCCTGCTCCCTGTGTGGGCGCCTGATGCGCACTGCCCCCAGCATGCTGGCCGGGAAGGTATCCATAGGCATCGTACAGGGCAGCAGCGGCCACAACGGTAGAGGCCGCAGCTGCCTCTTCAACAGCATCCCTGTACGCCGCCGCTGCCGAGTCGGCGCCTCCGCCCTCACCAGCAGACGGCACCTCATTGTGAAACTGGAAAGCCGAGGCGGCGGCCGAGGCATATCGCTGCTGCTCCTGCTGCTGCTGCTGTTCCGGCACCTGCCGCGAATCCATGTATGCCTGCTGCTGCAGGTGCTGCTGGTGCTGGGCGGCGACGGCAGCAGCAGCGGCCGCGGCCGCGGCATAGGGATCTCGCTCCGCATATGCCTGCTGCTCCTGCTGCCCCTGCCCTGCATACTGCTCTGGCTGCACCTCGCAGCGCGCCAGTGCGCTTGCATAGGAATGGTGCTGCTCAGCTCCAAACTGCTGCTGCACAATGGAGGCTGCACCATAGTGGGGGTGGTTCCCCGCCTCGGCAGCAGCTGCTGCATACTGCACTGCATCAAATGGCTGCCCAACGCCTGCATCATCCATGTAGTTGTACGGCGGCTGTTCCTGCGCATAGTGCTGAAGCTGGTAGCCCTGACCATCCCCATACTGACCTTCAGCGGTGCCATAGTGCGCAGCCGCTGCCGCGGCCGCTTCATACTGCTGCTGCTGCTGCTGCTGCTCTGCGTACTCTCCTCCCGCACCTGCTGCCGCCGCGGCTGCAGCAGCCATTGCTACCACATAGTCGGGCTGGCCATGGTACTGCGCTTCTGCGTACTGCGGCATCGCCTGGACGTGGTACTGCTGGGTCGCAGCCTCAGCCGCTGCCGATGGGGCATCAAACGGCTGCTGCTCGTAGCCACTGCCTTCTGCATGCAGGCTGTCTGCATAGGCATAGTGCTGCAGCTGCGCCTGCTCTGCATACTGCTGCTCGTACCGAGCCTGTTCCTGCTGCTGCTGCTGCTGCTGCTGCTGCTGCTGCTGCTGCTGCTGCTGCTGCTGCTGCTGCTGTTGCTGCTGCTGCTGCTGCCACTCGTGAAGCCGCTCCTGCCGAGCAGTGGCAGCTGCTGCAGCGGCGGCCGCGGCCGCAGCTGTGTCGTGCACGCCAGGGGGCACTAACCTTGCTGCTGCAGCTGCTGCAGCTGCTGCAGCTGCTGCAGGGCGGCTGTCAGCCTCGACCATGCCATCCGTACCGCCAGCAGCAACAGCACTGTTGCCTGCCGCGCTGACGCTGCCCCCGTCAGCCGCAGCCGCAGCCTGTGCGCCTCCCTTCTGTCGCTCCAGCCGCAGCTGCGCCCGCCGCCGTCGCTTGCTCTCGTTGTTGCGCATGGCAGCACACCTGTAGCGAGGGCGACATCCTTCAGACCTGCTGGAATGCAACAACTGCCAACACGCGAGTTCACCAGCGCAGCATGCTCGCGATGGAGCGAGTGAGGCATGACTTGAACAGTCAGTTCGGAGACCCAAAGGGAGGTCAAGGGGCACCACAGGGTCAACAGTTGGAACTCAGGTCAACTCACGGGCGGCAGTAGGAGAAGAGGCCATCCGCATTGTCCTTGGATCGGAAGAAGTCGGCGGCGGCCTTGGTCTCCTTGCACAGCCGGCACTCCTTCTCCTCAGCCACCTGCGCCTCCTGCACACACGGGGCGGCACGCCAGCAGCGGCAGCGCAGAGCTGAGGGTCGGTTGCCTCGCTGCCACGACAGGCAGAGGGACAGGCCATGCTGGACGCTGCGGAACCAAGCAACGACACTGCTGGCCACACAGCAGCGGCGAGGGATGCAGGGCTGGCGGACCTCAGGGCCGGCCCTGACCCGCTTCTTCAGCCTCGCCGCCTGGTTCAGCCCCTTCTGACACTCCTGCACACACAGCAGCGGGGTGGGAACAGTAGAAAGAAAAAAATCAGCCAGGGCCCCAGGCCAGCATGCTCTATCTATCAAGAGGAGGCAATTCTGGAAGTGTCAAAGAGCAAGCGGCGGCAAGTAGCAGGCAGTGACAGGTGAGCAGCAGGCTTGAATCAGCCAATGTCAAGCAGGACACGGTGCCAGCGTAGAAGAGTGCAGCCGAGCACTAGGGCTTACCTTGCAGTAGGTGCACAGCCCGTCCAGCGACGTTTTGGAAGTGAAGAACAGAGGCGCAGCCTTGTCCTGGCCGCACCGCCGGCACAGCTTGTGGGACACCTTCACCACGGGGGCAGCGCCCTTGTCGCGCTTTGCTCCCCACCCCAGCTCTGCCTCGCAATCCTGCGGTACACGGGACAATGCAGGCTTGCAGGGAGGTCTGGGAGACGACAGCGAAAGGCAAAACATGCGTGAAGCATAGCACATATGCAGCCGGAGGTGCTCGGCTGTGATGGGGCTGGGCAGCCACACCTTGCAACGGTTCTGCAGCCGGTCGTCCCTGCTGTTGCTGCCCCGGAAGCTGCTCACTGGCTTGGTGCCCCCGCAGTGCATGCACGTCTTCTCTGGCAACAGCGCTGGGCTGCCATCGCCCGGCTCCAGATTCCGAACAGCACCAGCCTGTGCCCCTGCTGCTGCTGCTGCAGTCGCAGCGTGGGTCGAGGGCACAGCGGCAGCTTCCGCGCCGCCAAAGCCTGCCCTGCCGTCTCCGTCCTGACTCAGACCCCAGGCTGCCATGGCGCCGCTGCCCAAGCCGTTCCTCACCTGCTGCTCATGCTGCTGCTGCTGTTGTGCCGCCGCCGCTGTCGCCGCCGCCGCCGCTGCCAGCGCTGCGGCTTCCGCCAGCGAATGCTGCTGCTGCTGCTGCAGGAAGTGGGCGGCCTCGCCGGCTGGTGGCAGCACGGCGCCTTCCTGCAAGTGCAGGCCTGCCGCCACGGCGGCCGCCTGGTGGTGGGGCAGGGCCGCCGTTGGATCCACCACCTGCACAGCAGCGTGGCGGGACCGCCCGTGCAGGAATGCCAAGATGCTGGGCTGGAGGATAGGTTTGGCCAGCTGCCCATAGCCGAGAATCGCCCTATTAGTGTCCAGCAGGCGCCCAGAAGCAGACAGCACAGCGCCTTGCATTTACGGCGCTGTACTGCCTGCTGGAGCATGCCCCCCAGCCTGCCGACCAACCTGCGCCGCCAGCAGCTGCTGCATCGCCTCGCTCCGCTGCTGGTACATGCAGGCGTGGCAGTGGGTGCTGAGCGTGGGCGCCGAGGTGTCGCCCAGAAGGAACTCGACGACGGGGCGGTCCAGCTGGCAGCGGGGGCAGGTGTAGTAGGCTGCAAGCCCCGCGACGTGAGCGGCCGCGTCGCGTGCGGATGCCGCCGCGTGTGCTGCCGCCGCCGCCGCGTCCTCAACATGCTGATCAGGAGCGGCATAGGCTGGCCCGGGCAGCGCTTGGTGGACGGGATGTGTTGCCATTTGGCAGGGAGAAATGCAACAGAGGTGTCGGCCGCGGCGGTGGCGGCCACCGGCCGCCCGCCTGCCCTCGACCGCCGCCTCAAATGCCCCGGCTTGGGCGCGCACCCGCGCAGCAGCTGGTGTCGCGGCCTTAATCCTCGGGCGCTCCGACTGGCCCGGACACCATGAGAGGTTGGGAAAAGCTGGCGGAGATGGCCCGTGGAGCGCCTTCAAGCCCCGCCGCTATTACTCAGCGATCGCTTCTTGCGACGCCTCTGTCACATGAAGAATGCAACGAAGCCTGTTCTATGTTTGAGGAGAAAAGTTGGGCTGCACTACTGGTAGGCGTCCCGCCGCCAACGCACCGTCTCGCCCGCCGCCAAAGCACCGTCTCGCCACCCCTCCTCAGGCCAGCTTCTTGGCAGCTTGTTTCAACGCGGCCCCCACCACCGCCTCCGCCTCTGCCGCCTTGGCTGCCACCATGTGTGCCGCGCCGGTGGCGGGGCCCGCCTGCGCGGCGCCAGCTGGCAGCGGCAGCGCCGCGGGGGCGGTGCTGATGGCTGGGATGCGGCGCAGGATGCCCAGATCAATCAGCCGATCCATCATCTCCCGCAGAGTCTGCAGCAAGGCGAGGGAGGCACGGTGAGGGCCGCGACAAGCGAGCCAGCCAGAGGGATTGCGCTCTGCAGCTGAGCATGAACCGCACACGCTGGCAAGCCAGTACACAGCAACGGCATCTCATGACCCCTCATGGCTTCCCCTTGTCCACGGTGCGCCTTCACCTGCTCCAGCGGGATGAACTGCAGGCCCAGCTCCCGCCGCGCCTTGCTGCAGTCAATCACCGCGCCCTGCTTGTTCCACAGGCTGCGCATCCACTTGAAGCTGCATGGGCAGCGAGAACGGGGCGAGCCGGCCTGCTGCAGCTGGAGAGCCTGCTGCTTATGCTGCGGCAGCAGGCCAATTGCGCTGCAGCTGCATGCAATCTGCGCTGCCTCTTCAGCTGGGCAGATTGCGCCAATGACCCGCTGCGATCTCACCTTCTGATGCCCATCAGTGCCAGCAGCGGCACGGCGGCCCAGAATGGCAGCACGATGTGCGGCACCCAGTAAGCTGGGTACATCTGCCTGCATGCATGCAGTCCAGCAGAGCAGAAAACACTGCTGAAACGACCTGGCATGGGCTGGGGTGGACGCTTCCACTGGAGTCCTGTTCACCAGCCGCCCTGTTGGCAGCGCTCTAGCGCAGAGCCCAGCGTACAGGCGCAGCAACAAGCACAGCGCAGCACAGCACAGCGCAGCACAGCACTCACCGCAGCATGGCGGCTATGTCAGACATGAGAGTGCCGCGCTCGCACAGCAGGTAGCGCCCCCGCGCCTCTGGCAGCACCATGGCCAGCACATGCGCTGCTGCCACATCATCCAGATCCACAGTCGTCAGCCCTGCCGGCAGGGACCAGGGTGGAACGTTGGGGTGAGCAGATACCAGATGGAATACCGGGACAAGCCCTGCAAGGCAGGCGGCCCCGCTCGGGACTTGCAAGATGTTCCAGCGCCCGCAAGTGGCAGGGAGGCGCCAGGCAGCAGCACAGCGCACCCAGCGGGGCCACGAAAGGGTAGAAAGTGCCATCCATCTGTTTGATCATCGACGGCACAGGGCCTGCATGCACACACCATGGCGGGTCACATGCTCAACGCATGTGCACTGCAGACAGGACGGCACTGAGCACGGCAGGCTGCATCCAGCACCACTCAGCCCTGATGGTACTGCTGCAGATCTGCTCAGCTTCTGGTGGTGCAACTGCAGCGCCGCACCGCTGTTGGGGCTGATGTCCATGGGTGGCCCGTAGGTGTTGCCGGGACAGATGGCCACCAGGCGCCAGCGGTCCTGCTGGGAGGCGATGGCCCAGGCCTGCCACTCCGCCAGCACCTTGGCCCTGCAGGGCAGCAGGGAGGTCGCTGTCGTTGGCTAGCACGTGGCTGGTGTGTTCATGGCAAAATGCTGCTCCCCCCAGCCAACCATTGTCAGCGGTGCAAGATCTCCACCAGGAGTCACTAGATGCAGGCAGCTGCTCACGTGACGTAGGGCTCATCCAGCTGCATGAAGCCCAGGTTCCAATCGCCTTCCGTGTACACGTGGCCGGGGCCGCGATCGTGGAAATCGGAAGAGGAAGCCACCAGGGAGGAGGTGAGCACCACTGCAACAAACAAAGGAGAGCAGGACCACATCACACGGTTAGTTGTCTGCATGGCACTGTGGTCTGTGGCTGCTTTGCTGTGCCGTGTTTGCTGCCTGCATGGGTGGCAGGCTGGCAGGGTGGCAGGACAGCCTGCTGCCCAGCTGCCCACCTTTCTCCACGCTTGCTGTCTTGTTCACGGCGCTCAGCACGTTTTCGATGCCGTGCAGCGTGGGCTCTATCACGCGAGAATAGGCCAGCCGCTGCGGCGCATTGAGGCTCACCACCCCGGCAGTGTGGATCACATACCTGCGGAGTGGCAGGCAGGCGAGCAGGCAGCGAGCATGCGGTTTGATGCTCAGAGCCGCTTGGTTGGTGTTTGGATGAGCCATGCCGGTGCACAAGCTGCAGGCAGGCCAGCTCCTGCGGGTAGCACGCTCACTTGCAGCCTGCGACAGCGGCGTCAAAGGAGCCTGCCTGCATCAGGTCAGCCTCAAGCCAGCGCAGCCGCTCCTGCGCCCCAGGAAGCTCCTGCAATGCCGCAATGGCCGCCTCGTCGTCCCCGGCAGCGCGGCGGGTGGCGTACACAGTGTGGCCCGCCGCCAGGAGCCGCGCAACAATGCGCGACCCGATGTAGCCGGCTCCGCCTGAAAACAGGAGGCAGCGTGGTTGAGAGGTGCCTTGCAGAACGGGTGCCTGGGAGGCGGGCGGCGGCAGCAGGCGGCGGGGCACCACCCTGGTCGCCCAGGGTCGCTGCTCGCCCGGTCTCCTCTGACCGACTTACCGGTGACGCATACTGTGGCCGGCGCTGCCTGCCTCTCCGCATCGTGAAGCGGCTTGCGGGAGAGCATGCGATCGAGGTTGACCTGCCCGCGGGCCTCCATCGCTGCTGACGCCCCTCGATGCAGGCAATTGGATGATACGGCGCGACTAGGACATGCTCCAAGGCTTTGCGAGACTTTTCCTTGAGTTGGTGACGTGGCGTCGCCGCCGGCGGCACCCGCCGCGAGCCCGAGCAGACAGCCACCGGTATGCTTCTTGCGTAACTCCAGGTGAGCTTAACATCAAGTCTTATAACTACCAGTGCATGGTATTTTGAATACATACATACCGGTACCTTCATTATGCTGGGTGCCCCTGCCGCCGGGCGGTGCCGTCTGTGCTGTCTGCAGCTCCCTGGGTTGCAGTGGCAGCAAGACTTCGGCAAAAGCCCAGGTGCAACCTCTACCCGCCTAGCTGCCAGCAGCCGTCTATGCAGCTTTCTTCGACTTCGCCGCGACGGCGCCTCCAGCGGCAGGCAGGCGGGGCAGCACGCCCAGCTCGATGAGCCGCTCAGCAAAGTCGCGCAGGCTCTGCATGGCAGCCGGCCGCCAGCCATGGCTTGACTCCAGTATCCTTCCTCAATCAGGCGGCTGGTATCAATGCGGCCAATATGAGCAACATCACTCACTGCCACGCCACCTACCACCTCCCAGCCCTGCCCACACAAACCTGCTCCAGAGGGATGAAGCTCAGGCCCAGCTCGGAACGAGCCTTGCTGCAGTCCACCTCTGCCCGCTGGCGCCACATCGTCTTCACCCACCTGTAGCTGCACACCCGGACAGCGGGCAGCAGGCAGAGGGCAGGCAAAACAACACTGGGGTTCGACGGCAGCCAAGAAGCAACATGGAAGCAGGTGGACATGTGGAGGCGGCCCAGGTGCCCCTCCAGCTTCCGGCCACCCCCGCCGGTGCCAGTGGCACGGGATGCAATGCTTGCCTCATGATGCCCGTCATTGTGAGCAGCGCGGCGGTGGCCCAGAAGGGCAGTGTGAGGTGCGGCACCCAGTAGGCAGGGTACATCTCCCTGCATGCGGCGCATCACACGCATGCCAGGCTGGCCAGGCATCGCAACGCATACCGGTCATGCAGCAGCGCACTGAGCATAGCAAGCTACAACAAGCAAAGTCTCCAGCCCGGGACTCGCCTCATCATGGCAGCCATCTCAGACATGAGGGCAAAGCGCTCGCACAACACGTAGCGCCCCTGCGCCTCAGGCAACACCATGGCCAGCGCGTGCGCCGCCGCCACATCATCCAAGTCCACCATGCCAAGGCCTGTGGAGCAGGGTGGGCAGGAATGTTGTGTGCACGGTTGTGTATGTGACGGTTTCTGAAGGGAGGGAGGCAGGGGATTGCGGGCGGGATCAAGTGACCCCTGGCGCCAGCTGCATGCTGTGGAAAGGGTGCAGCTGACCAGCACGGTCAGGCTGGGGCAACCAGGGGAACGCAGCTCGCACCGGTGGGGGCAGTGAAGGGCCACCAGGTGCCGTCCAGCAGGTTCTTGATGGTGGCCACTGGTGCTGCAGAGGTGCAGGATGCACTCCAGGAAAGGATGCAGTCACAGGAACGGGCAGTCTCACTGTGCTGCCAACGGCCGCTGGCGCCTGGCCGCATGCTCACCACACTTGAGGTTGGCGGTGAGCGGCGGGCCATACACGTGGCTGGGGCAGATGGCCACCAGGCGCCAGTGGTCCTGCTGGGAGGCGATGGCCCAGGCCTGCCATTCCGCCAGCGCCTTTGACCTGCAGGGCAGCAGGAGGTCACTGTCGTCGGCTGCCACATCGCTGCACCACTGGTTGCGTGAGGCAGGACGCCCAGCACGGCTCGCCCAGCAAGGCTCGGACATTCGATCAGCTGCGCTTTCCATTTGGCGCCCAGCCAAGCGCAGCGCAGCGGGGGCTGGGGCCTCACGTCACATACGGCTCCTCCAGGTCGCAAAAGTTGGTGGTCCAGTCGGCTTCCGTGTACACATGCCCCGGGCCACGCTCGGTGAACTCGGCAGAGATGGCGGCCAGCGAGGAGGTGAGCACCACTGCGCATGCGGGCAAGGGCCAGCACCTCGGGTGGCAGGTGGGCCGCCAAATCATGACCACAGACGGCGCCTGAGCGGCTGTGCCCCGCCTGAAGCGCTGCGCATGGGCCGTTGTGCCTGTCCCCGCACTGCTCCAACCAGCTGCCCACCTTTCTCCACGCTGGCTGTCTTGTTCACAGCGCTCAGCACGTTTTCGATGCCGCGCAGCGTGGGCTCGATCACATGCGAGTAGGCGACCTTCTTGGGGGCGTTGAGGCTCACCACGCCGGCAGCATGGATCACATACCTGCACTGGCAGGGCACTGGCAGCATGTGGAGCTTCGGTAGCAGCGCCGGCTGGCCGGCTGAGGATCCCCTTGTAGCAGAAGCACAGGGGTGCCCACGTGATGCAGGCATGCAATGGCAACATTGTCGCCCACACGGGCACACAGCAGCAGCCAAGGTCGTACCTGCAGCCGGCCACAGCAGGATCAAAGCTGCCTGCCTGCTTCAGGTCGGCTTCGAACCAGCGAAGCCGCTGCTTTGCTCCCGGCAGCGCCTGCAGCGCCTCGATGGCCGCGTCGTCGTCCCCGATGGCCCGCCGGGTGGCGTGCACGGTGTGGCCCGCCGCCAGCAGCCGCGCAACAATGCGTGACCCGATGTAGCCGGCCCCACCTGTTGCAAGAGCAGGGCCATTCGTTGAAGAGGCAGATGCAAGCTGGATTGTTCTGCAGTGGCGCCTGGCGGCGGCAAAGGCGGTGCCGCCTGTCCCACACCATTTTTCGGGCGGTTGCCTGGCGGTCTTCCTTTCAACTTACCTGTCACGCAAACTGTCGCCGGCGCTGCCTGGCGCTCGGCTGGGTAGAGCGGCTTGCGGGCCAGTATGCGATCGAGGTTGACCTGCCCCTCCCCGCGCGCCATGGCTTCTGTGGATCAATTGGCGTCCTGCGCAAGTCAAGAGTGCAGCCCGATTCGAGTCCAAGGAGCTGAGGTGCACCGCGGTGGGATGCCGACGTGGCCAATGGCGGGTGTCGCTTCGCTCCCTTACGGGACCGTTAAGCCCTTCTAGTTCACCAGTGAGAGGGCAAGGCTCATCACCCAATCCAGGCATCCCGATTGGGCGGGACCTGGTTGACCGCAACTTGTCGCCGACCCCAGCGGCTCCCCGCACGCAGAATGGACTGGCAGCAGTGGGCCAAGCACTGGAACAAGCTGGCGCGGCAAGAGGATGAGCTGGGGACCGCCAGAGAGGGCGCCGGCGCCAGCGCAGCCCACCCGGACGCCGGCTTGCGCACCCAGAGAGACGGCGCATCGGTGCAGCACATTCGCGCGCAGCTGGCCAGGCACCTGAGCGCAGCAAGCGCGCTGCTGGCGACGGGGGGGCCACTGGCGGGCCAGGCGCTGGAGCGGCGGCAGCAGCAGTGCACTGCGGCGCAAGCGGCCTGGCAGGCCACTTGCGATGCGCAGCTGGAGGAGCTGGCACAGGCAGAGGTGGAGCTTGCAGCTGAGTATGATGAGGCGACCCTGCAAGTGCAGCAGCTGCTGGCCCCTACGCGCAGCGACGGCACGCATGCGAGCTCTGCCCGAGCGGCGCAGCAAGCCGGTGCCGCCGCCGCGGCGCCAGGTGCAGACTGCCTGCCGCCCGAGGTCGCCGCCCACGATGCTTTCCAGCAGCGTCACGGGCCGACAGGTGGGCTCATGCCGCAGCACCCCCACTGGGAAGACTGCAGGCTGGCTCTGCCGCACGGAAGCGGTATGCTGGTTGGCTGTCCAGCGCCGCATCTCGAGCTCACCTCTGACCTTCTTGGAGGGTGTGGCCTTGCCACCTGCAGGCGGGTGGCACCCAGACGACCATGCAGAGTTTGAGCGCATCCTCAGGGCATGCCGCGGCAACTATGCCCACTGCGTCCAGCTGTGCTCAGAGGAGCTGAGCCTGCTGCACAGCGCGGACGACGTGCAGCGGCACGCCAGGTGGCACGAGGAGCTCCAACGCCTGCAGCTCAGCAAGCGGCTGGCTGTGCAGCGCTGGCGCACGCAGCGGCAGGCGCAGCAGGCGGCTCTTCTGGAGCAGCAGCAGCAGCAGCTTTGGACGGGCCAGCTGGCAGAGGTAGGGCAGCAGGAGCGGGAGGCGGCGGAGGAGAGGGAGCGGCATCGTGCTGCACTGGCAGATTGGAAGGCGGCCAGGGAGGAGCGGCGGGTGGAGGAGCGGCGGCAGCACGAGGCTGAGCAGCAGAAGCGGCGGGAGCGGGAGCTGCTTGCGCGGCAGCGGCGGCAGCAGGAGAACCGGCAGCTGCTGGAGCAGCGGCGGCAGGGGAAGGGTGCGGCTGACGGCCAGAGCCAACACGAGGCCCCCTCTGCAGAGAGCAGCCGCGGCAGCAGCGTGGGCTCGGCGCCGCTGGACCCGGCCGCCAGGCAGCGCCTGCGCCACCGCAGCCAGCAGCTGCTGCAGCGCCGCGCGGTGCAGACGGCGAGGCGGGGCGAGCTAGCGGCGCAGCAGGCGGCGCGCGTGGAGGCGCTGCAGCGCGCCGCCTCGCAGCAGTTCGGCGGGGCGGCGGAGCGGGACCCGCGGCGCCTGCAGCAGGCCACGGCGGCGGCGGCCATGCGCCAGCTGGCGGCGCTCAGCGAGGAGCGCGCGCCCAAGGACAGCGGCTACATCAGGCACCTGCCCCGCAGGGCGACGCCCAGCTGGTGCGGCGGCGCGCGGCTGCAGTGAGGCGGCGGCGCAGGCGTTGGGGATGAGGTAGCCCCGGCGGGACGGTCATGCTGCGCGTGCCTGCCTGCCTGCATGCCCGCCGTTCTACCTGTTGACGGTGTAACGACCAACAGCTGGCTCGCTTACACGCTGCCAGCTGGCCACAGCGCAAACCCAGGGCACGGAGCACGGACCGCCCGCCGCCCTGCTGCTGGCGGCGGCGAGGCATCCAGCCAGTACGCCAGTATGCCATGCACGCCTGCCAGTCACCCCGCCGCCGCCAGCTGGTCCCGCAGGTACTGTATGAACAGGCGCTGCGCCGCCGCCGCGTCCCGCATGCGCATGAAGGTCTGGTTGGTGGCCAGCTTCATGAAGCCGCGCTTGTGGCGGCGCACCTCGGGCAGGAACATCTGCAGCCAGCCAGGGGAGGCAGCAGGGTGCCGAGCAGAGTGCCGTCTGTTGCTGTTGGCGGCGGTGTGGGTGTACATGTGCGTGTGTGGTGGTCGTGGTGGCGGTGGTAGCTCAGGCGCGATGAGCAGGCACCAAATGGCACGGCAGCGAGGCCAGGGTGGCAGCGAGGAGCGGGCTGGCAAGCACAGCAATGCAAGGCATGGCTGGCTGCCAGCAGCATGGCTGCCAGCAGCATTCCAGCGAGCCCAGCCCGCCTCACCGGCCGGTACATGTCTAGAGGGGGCAGCGAGGAGCCCTCGCCGCCGCCGCCGCCGCCGCTGCTGCTGCTGGGGAATGTGACGACGCCCGGGGCGCCGCTGCCCGCCGCCGCTTGCGCCTCTGCCACCCGGTCCAGCACCTGCTGCAGCGCCTTGTCTATCTCGTGCTGCAGGTTGGTGGCTGCACGCGGGGCAGGATTGGGGGTGAGTCAGCAGAGCAGGGCCAGACTGGCAACATGCTGACATCGGCTGGCGGGCCCACAGCAAGGCAGCAGCGAGGGTTTGTGCGTGGCACCTGCGCAAATCCTACTGCCATCACCTGAAAGCTTGGATGCTGTGGTGTCTGTAGCCACATGAGGCGTGAGCTTCTTGGCAAGCAGCACCGGCGGCGCACCGTCTGCTGCGCCTGCCGCCGCCGCCGCCTCTCCCTGCGATCCCGCTGCCGCCGCCGCTGCTGCTTGCCGCGGAGCATCCCCCACCGCCGCCGATATCGCATCCAGCTGCTCCTGCATCTGGCTGCTGCCCAGCAGCGGGCGCAGCGTGAAGAGGGGCGAGTCCCATCGGTTTCGGGAGTCTGGACGCTCAAACCTGCAGCATTGCGGGCACGGCAGCAGAAAGGAGGCGCTCCTCGCTGAGCAGGTGGGGGGCGCTGGCAGGTGCACTGCAGCTGGTCCTCTCACATTCTGCTGAGCATCCTCCGGTGGAAACAAGCAGCACAGCCATCCCCAGCCCTGCATGGCCCCACCTGCAGGCCAGGTCTTCAAAGATCGCCTCGCTGTAGGCGCCGGCCGCGTCGCGCTGCTGGTTCCACTGCCGGCACGTGTCTGGCGGCGTGTCCACGTGGACTAGGCAGTACCGTGTGGCAGCCTGCAACACCATAGGTGGGAGGGATAGCACCAATGGTGGACACCAATCTCTGGTAAGCAGGCATTCGTGAGCACGCACGTCCGGTGCTCGCAACGCAGCTGCGGCGCTGCCCTGCCGGTGTGACGCCAGGCGAGCCCTTTCCCAGCCTGCGCCGACCACCCAGCGTGCCCCACCTGACGCGCGATGCACCACAGCTGGTAGCGGTAGCCCTTGATGTTGTTGTGGGTGTCAAAGATCACGATGCGGCTGCGGGTGAGGCAGCGGTCCATGGCCGACAGAAGCGTGCCGCGCGCCACCTTCTCGCTCGCCGCATCTGCTTGGGGGTGAGATGAGGATCGGTGGAGGGCCACAATCAGCGGCAGACGTGGTGACCGGGAGCGTAGAGTGGGGCTGGGCTGGGCACAGGGTATTGGTTATGGCAGACGATGAACCAAAGGCGAGGAGACACTGCCGGCAGGCAGAGCCGCCGCCGCCGCCACCGTCTTGCTGCCCACCTGCGTAGCTGATGTTACGCTGCAGGTGCACCGAGTCTTCGTCCACCACCTGCACCTCCTGGCCCCGCTGCCTGCAGACCTCGGCCAGAGCAGCCGCGGCGGTGCTCTTGCCGCTGCAGGGCAGGCCGCTGATCACAATGAGCGGCATCGATGTGTAGGGTGCTGGTGGATCTCGATGGAGGGGGGTGGCTGCGAGAATTGAGCTGGGCGGCTAAATCGCATCACAGTGCAGCTGCCGCTTGCTTCTATTCCGCATCACTGTTAGCCAAGGTGAGAGAGCGTGTGGCTCAAGTGCATATGATGGTGCAGCACCGTGCATGCATGCAGCTCTCGGCCGCTGCCGCTGTCGCTGAGCTGCCGCTTCGTCACCGACGTGCAGGATGCAGGCTGATCAGTGGGATCACTGTAGCACAAGATAGTTGTACAAAATGGTGATTGGGTAGCTGCGCAGGACAGCACAGAAACTGTCGTGGGGAGGCACGTGGCGCCGCAACCGCCTTCCGAACGTGTCGCCGGCCCCGACTGATCCGGAGGCTGCTCATTTGCAAAACTTGTCTGCCTTCATCGCCGCCCGCATGTCCAGCCGCTCCTCCGCCGTCTTTCCCTTGACCTTCTTTGTGTAGCCTGGCAGCAGGAGAAAGGTGGTGGAGAGGGCTCAGCGGCAGCAGAGACTAGAGCAGCCAAGTTCAGCTTTGATATGCACCGGCTGAACTGTGACGGCAGCACAGCAGCAAGTGGGTGGCCAGCAGGAGACACGGCGGACTCAACAGGCTGCGGCAGCAGCGGTCATTGCCATGGCACCTGCCAACAGCAGGGCTCACCATGCAGGATCTCGGGCGCTGCCGCGTAGCCGCTGCCCCACGGCGTCGCCTTGGCCTTGCCCGTCTTCACCTTGGCCATCTCCAGAGCAAACTCCTCCTCGTAGTTCTTGCCGCTCATAACCGACACGCCCGACGCCTTGACTGCAAGCAGCATCGACCAGCCTGACGTTCAGCTGGGTGGAGGTGGCGCGGAAGACAGGGCAGGAGGCCGTGAGTGCGGTGCGGCTGTGCCAAGACGGCTCGCCACTCACGTGCCTCCTCCTGCTGCTTCTTCTGCTCCTCTGTCACCTCCTTCTCGGCCTTCTTCTTCTTTTTCTTCTTTTTCTCCACGCCTGTGCTCTGCAGGCGGCAGGAATGAAAACGCTGGTGGCTGGCCCCTGTCCGCCGCTGTTACTGGCTGCCGCCTGTGGGCGTCGCTCCCGCCGCCAGCACTGGCAACTTACCGTGACGCGCAGCCCTCCCTTGAGCACCAGCTTGCCTCCCACGGGCATATCTGCGTCTGCGCACTCAGCCAAGTGCTTTCTGACAACAATCGGTGAAGATTATTGTGGTGTAGGGCACAGGCAGGCAGTTGAGGGGCTGGAAACGCCTTGTGCGGGGTGGTTGGAGTGCTGTAAAGGAGAAGAGGTAGCCAAGAGAGGGAGAATGGGGCGCCCTGCTGGCGCCGCTGCCTGCCAGCGCGGCGGTGAAGGGCTGTGGAGCCGCCTGCTGCAGCGATCAGATCACTTCCGGCCGTCAAACCACCTCAACCACAGGGCCTTGTGCAGTGAGGGGGCCTCGATCGCCGAGATGGCGGAGACCTCGCCCCCTCCCCCCACGCGGCTGGCCTTTGATCGGACCCCTGAGCTGCTTCATGTTCAGGCGATCCGCAGCACGAAGGAGAAGGTGGACAGGGTTGAGATGCACCCTGTCCAAAGCTGGCTGGCCTATGTGGACCGGAATAGCACCGTCTGCGTGTGGGACTGGGAGCGCGACGAGGCAAGAATGCGCCGCTGCTGGGAGCCCTGCCGCCCCGCAACCATGGCGCCCAACCGACCGCCCCCGCCCGCCGCCGCCATTGACTGTGCTTGCCTCGCTCTGCTCCCCTCCCCCGCGCCGCCCCTGCAGCTGATATACGACGTGCAGCTGGGAGGCGCGGACGAGGCTGCGCTGCAGGAGGCGGCGCTGCGGCAGCGCGCCGACCGCGGCGCCGCAGCCGCTGGGCTGTCCGCCGCGACAGCAGCGATGCAAGAGGCCAGCCTGGCGGCCAAGGGCACCGCCTCGGGCCTGGTCAGGGATGTCAAGTTCCTCGACATGGACTCCTGCTTCTGGCAGATTGCGAGGCAGCACTGGATGCAGTATGGCGCCAGCGATGACCGCACCATACCTTACCTGGGTGAGTCGCCAGCGGGGACGCTGCGGCCTGCACGGGTTGCCTGCACGGGTTGGCGAGGGCAGGAGGGCATGACCCGCGGTGCTGCTGCCTCTGCTTCCGCCTGCAAACCAGTCAGCGCACCTGCTGCTGCAGGCAAGTGTAAGGGGCTGCAGGGCAAGCGGTGGCTGGTGGTCGCCTGCGAGAACAAGGTGCGTGCGGCTGGTCGTTTGCCCGGACAGGCGCCGCCAGTGCGCTGCTGCGCTTGTTTGCTGGCCATGCTGCCTGCTCAGGCCCGGCTGCCCGCGTGCTGTGCTGCACTGAGGGTCCCCAAGGGTGGTGCATGGTCGGACCACGAAGCCCTGCAGAACACGACAGACGGGCCTGCAGCCCACATGTATTTATTATACCTTTCTCCTGCATCATCCTCTCTCTCCTGCCTCATCCCTTTCTCCTGAGTCGACCTGCAGGTGGTGATGCACGACCTGGCCTCCGCCGACAGCCGGGACATCCCTCGGGCGGCCTGCTTCGAGTCCAAGGCGCCCACCTGCCTCGCCTTCCTGCTGCTCAACCTGCCGGGGCTGCTGGGCTACTCCGCGCCCGGCAGCCAGGCGGGCATGAAGCAGGCGAGGCTCGGGGCCCGCGGCAGCGCCCGCGCCGCGCCGCCGCCCCTGCATCCAGCGCCGCCTGCTCGCTGGCTGGCGGGCGGGCACCCTCCAGCATCGCAACCCTGCTTGTGCGGCCCTGCTCGTGCCGTCCCTGCTGCTCACTGGTGCAGCCGGGGCTGGCTCCCATCATGGCTGTGGGCACCTCTGGCGGCAGCATCTTCCTCATCAGCCCCGACACAATGACCGTGTACGCCAAGCTGAGCGGCGCCCACGGCAAGGCGGTCACAGCCATGCTGCCGCTGGCCAGCGAGGCCCCCGGCGGCCCCGACATGCTGCTGTCCGCCAGCGCAGACGGCACGCTGGCAGGTGGGCACGCCCGCGCCTCGCCGCTGCAGCCGTGCCGGGCGGGGCGGGCAGCCGGAGCTGGCGCAGCAGCGGCCACCCAGAGCTCGCAGCGACGGTTCGGGCAGTCGGCGGGGCGGGGAAGCAGCCCCATCTTTTGACCTCTGCGCTGCGCACCCTGCTCCTCGTGCTGGTCTGCTGGCCTGCAGTGTGGGACCCTTCTCGGGCGCCCATGAAGGGACCCGACCGCGAGATTGCCGCCAAGCTGTCCTTTAAGGCGCACGACAGCGGGGTGGCGGTGAGCTGGCGCCGCGCTGGCTGCGCCGGGCGCCTGCGCGGCCCTGCCTGGTGCCCGCCCGCGGGGCTCAGCCGCGCACCCGGGCATTGGTGGCGTGCCATCCTTGCTTCTGCCACTGCTGCGCATCCCCTCCTGTTCTCTGACTCCACTGCCTCCCACACCGCCACACATTGCATAACCACACCACCAACACCAACAGCAACACCAACAACACACTGCATATATATGTTTCAATCTTCAGGCCATGACCTACTTCCTGACCTACACCGAGAAGCCGGAGCCGCCCGCCATGCGCCTGGCCACCACGGGTGGGTGGGTGGCTGGGCCCCGCCTGGCGCGCCCGCTTGCCTGCGAGGGAGTGACGCGGCGCGCCCCTGCCGCCGGCACGCCGCCCTGGTGGCCCTCATGCCTCGCTGCTACCGACATATTGATATTAATTGACCGTGCTGGTCGGCCTGCCCTCCCTGCCTGCAGGCGACGACAAGCGGGTGCACATGTGGGATATCGGCAGCTGGAAGCCGTTTGCCAAGGCGCAGCCGCTGCAGAAAGCGGGCTGCCACAGCATCGTGTGGGCGCCCTGGGGCGGCACTGGCCTGGGCGCGCACCCCTCCCTGCTGCTGGCCACAGGTGCGCGGCGCCCCCACCGCACGCACCCCGACACATCCTTCCTGTTGCCCTTCCTGCACCCTCACCAACCCGCCCGTCCGTCACAACCACCCCCTGCCGCCCCTGCCAAGATGCCTCTGCCTGCACCTCAAGCTGCCGCGCAGGCGAGGCGCCGCTGGTGCTGGGGCTGGATCCCGCCACCGGCGGTATGGAGCGGTACATCGGGCTGGAAGGAAAGATCGACCCCGGGCAGAAGAAGGTGCCCAAGGTGTACCACCTGGCGGTGCACCCCACCAGGTCTGTGTGATGGGACGCCTGTGCCTGTGTGCTGCAGGGCTGTGGCATTGTGTGTGTGTGTCTCTGTGTGTGTTGTGTTGTGGCTCCCCGCTGGGCGAGTGCCGCCCGCCAGTGTGAGTGCTGGCATGCGTGTGGTGGCGGTGGCGGTGGTGGTGTGTATCGGCTTGTTTGCTTCCACAACCCCCTCGTGCTGCGCCTGTCGCCGCCCCCCGCAGGCCGCACCTGGTGGCGGCCGCCACCAACACGGGGGCAGTCCTGATGTCTTTCGACACCAACGAGCGGCCGCCCGTGGTGGCGCTGCCCGCGCAGGCGCGTGCGGCGGGCCGGGCCGGGCCTGGCATCGCCTGCCTGCGCAGCTCCGCCGGCCGGCTGGAGCGCGCGTTGCTGGCTGCCTGATGCTGCGGCCTGAGCCCCAGCCTGACACCTACTCACCCACTTGCACGCCTCAGACCGCACATGTGTGGATGTCCACGCCTCCTCCTTCCCTCGCAGGTGGTGACCCTGGAGGCGCTGCTGCAGCAGAACAACGACGCGCCGGACAAGCGCGGCGGCGGCGGCGAGGCCCAGGGCGGCGCCAGCGGCGGCAAGGGCGCCCAGGGGCTGACGTACGTGATGGCCTCGGGGGGCCGCCTGTGGTCCACCGCGCTGCGCATGGAGAGCCAGCGGGCGGAGGGCGCCGCGGAGCGCACCGTCAGGTGGGTGCGGCGCCTGTGCGCGTGTGCGTGTACGTGCGTGTGTGAGTGTGTGCGCCTGCACCCGTCTGGGTGTGTACGCGGGGTGGAGTGGTTGGCTGCGGGTGGTGCGGCGAGCGGCACGACAGAGCAGCAGAGGCAGGTGGATTGCCTGCCTGGCCGTGCCTCTTTACGTGCCACCCACCTGCCCCACACCCCCTGCCCACCCAGCCCCACACGCCTACCCACCTGTCTGCCCACCTGCCCTCCCTTCCCCTCCCGCATCGCCGCCCGCCTGCAGCCTGGCCGCCAGCCCTCGTGAGCCCATCGCCGCGCTGGACCACCCCGGGCGCCCCGTGCTGGGCTGCAGCGCCAGCGGGCGCAGCATCAGCGTGGTGTGGCCCCAGCTGCGCGCCTACGCCGTGTACAGCCTGGCGCCGACGGGCAGCTGGGAGGTGGTGGACAGAGGTGGGGCGCCGCGCCACGCGTGTGGCGTGCGTGCGGCGGGGGATGGGTGGAGTGTGAGAGCCCGGTCGCGGCTGCTTCGTTGCCAAATAGCTTACCAAGCCTGGCTGAAAGGGGGCGTGCGTCCCTTGGGGCCAGCGTGCAAGCGCTGCCTTGTCATGCTGCAAAGCGCTGCCTTGCTGTGCCTCAAGCGCTGCCTTAATTGTGCCACGCCGTGCGTCCACGCGCCGCTGCAGGCTCCGGCAACAACGTGGTGTGGAGCAGCACGCAGCCCATGTATGCGGTCATCTCAGGTGGGGGCCTGGCACCCCCTGGCACCCGCAGCCCGCGTGCTTGGGGTGCACGCATTGGGAGAGAGGCGGGAGTGGCCCGCTCCCTGCCTCTCTTGCTGGCTTGCGCGTGCCGCGTCGACCTCCCCTGTCTCTCCTACTGCCTGGCGCGCCAGCTGCGCTGTGCTGTGCTGTGCTGCTGCCGACAGCAGCTCCCCAGCACCCCCACCCACCCACCCACCTGCGCTGCGCTGCAACCCCCGTTGCAGTCCCCAACATCCCCACCATTGCCCCCAAAAAGAAGAAAGGCTTCTTCGGCGGGAAGAAGGCGGCGGCCGCGGCGGCAGAGCAGGAGGCGGCGGCGGCCGTGCGCTTTGCGGCGGCCACCGCCACCACTGTCGAAGTGCACACCGTGAACGAGGAGGCGGGCAGCCAGGTGGGCTGGCTGGGCGCTGCAGCACCGCCCTGTGCTGCCTTTACCTGCTGTGCTGAAGTGCTGACGGGCTGCGCCGGGTCGGTGGGGGCCAACCTTCCATGCCTGCCCTGCATCCGGCGTCTCCCAGGCCTGCTCCCCACGGCGCCTTTCCGCCGTGCGGCCCCGGCACCACATCCACACCCCCTCTGCCTGCTCCCCTGCCCCCCTGGCCCGCAGTTTGTGGCCACCCACGAGGTGCGGCTGGGCGGCGACCAGCCCGTGCTGCTGCACGGCGGCGGCCTGCTAGGCGTGGTGCTGAACAAGCCAGCCCCCGGCGGCGCAGGTGGGTGGGCTGCCAGGGCGCCGGCAGGCGCGGGGCAGGCGGGGGTGGCGCGACGGGGGGCCCGGTGAGGGTGTGGCTTTGGTGGCTGGTGGCGTGGCTGATGGGGGGCTTGGCAGCGTGGCGCCAGGATCCCTGGAGCGATGATGTGACCCATTACTGCCGATGGGCCGCTGAGCGCCGTGTTGCGGCGGTTCTGCGGCTCCTGCCTGCCCACCTCCCGTTTTGCTGCGCTGCAGGCCGGGTGATGCAGTTTGTGAGCTGGAAGGGGTTCGCCCCCGTGGGCCCCGAGCTGCCGGAGCCTGTCTGGGTCAGGTGAGGCCTTGTGTGTGTGTGTGTGTGTGTGTGTCGGGCAGGCTTTTTGGAGAAAGGGAGGCATCTGCTGGGGCGCGAGTGTGCAGTTCCAGCCCCCACTTTGGAGCAAGGGAGGCGGCTGCTGGGGCAGGAGTGTGCAGGGGGGCAGCCCCCAGCCCGCCTCACTTGGCTCTCCCCTTGCAATCCCCCCTCCACCACCTCCACCACCCTCCACCCCGTGCCCCGCCCTCCATGCCACCCCCATCCCACGACCGCAGCTGGGAGCCCGAGTGCACCCTGCTGGCCCTAGCGTACCAGAACGCCATCGAGCTGTGCCGCACGCGCCCTGCATTTGAGCGATGCGCCTCCGTCTCTATCGCCGACTCGGTGGCGGGTGGGTGGCCTGGGAGGTGGTGGTGGTGGTGCTGTAATGTGCTTGTGATATATTCGTGTGTGGCTGCCGTGTGGGTGTGCATGCGTGAGAGAGGGAAGGGGCCAGGGCGGTGGCAGCAGTGATGTGTGCGTCTGGGAGAATCTCCTCCTGCTGCTATGGGACAGTCGGGTCTTGTGGAGCGCGCAGCGGTGCGTGAAGGTGGGAGCTTGGCTGCCCGACCCCCTCCTCGACCCCCTCCCTGGCATTGCCGCTACCGCCGCCCGCCGCTCCCCTGCCGCAGGGCTGTGGCAGAGCCGCCAGCTGTACATCTCCACCCCCACCTCTGTGCATGTGGCCTTTGCTGACCCGGTCACCTCTTTTGTGCAGGAGGTGCAGGTGTGTGTGGTGGGTGGACACACGTTGTGTGTGTGGCTGGCGCGTGGCTTCGGCTGTGTGGCGACGCGTGTGCAGTTGCATTGCATTCGCGGGTGGGGCAGGCGGTGCCAGCGCGGCGCAGAAGGCGCCGCGCCGGCCGGCGCCCAGTCGGGGGGTGCCCAGTTGCGCCTCCAGGCCGGCTCCTGTGCCTGAGCACCCCTTAAAGACACCTGACTGCCCTGCCCTGCCCTGCGCTGCCCTATCGGCCCGCTCTCCCACGCCTGCGTTGCAGCTGGCCAGCTTCCAGGGCGGGGTGGACGGCAAGACGAGCGCCTCGGCGGAGGCCACCCCCCTGCCCCCCGAGCAGATGCGTCCCGCGGGGCCCATCACACTAGCGGGAGTGCGGCACAGCTACCTGTGGCTGGCCGACTGCCTGGGCCGACCCTTCCTCATCTCCCTGCGCCACCCGGGCCTGCGCATGCGCTGCCTGGCTGCGCGCGGCGAGATCACCACTGCACGCACCATCGCGGAGCGAGGTGGGGGCCGCGCTGGCCTCCCTGCGCTGCACGCGCGCGGCCCGTGCGTGCTCGGCACTGCTGCGTCCTGCACATGCACGCGCGCAGGCACTTATAACCCTCGTCCCGCCACAGCCACAGCACTGCACACACACGCTCGCACACGCTCTCTCTCTCTCTCACACACACACACACTCGCGCACACCTGCCCTGCCCCTCCCCGTGCCCTGCAGGCCTGGCTGCCGGGTTCCACGACGAGGCCGCCCGCTTCCTGGCGGCCATGAGCCCTCAGGAGGGGGTGCGGGAGGCGCTGGCGCTGCCCGGCCTCACCCCCACCGCGGAGATGGCGCTCAGCATACGGTGCGGGCGTGCGGGCGTGTGTATGAGTAGTGTGTGTGTATGTGTGTGTGTGTGTATAGTGTGTGTGTATAGTGTGTGTGTATAGTGTGTGTGTATAGTGTGTGTGTATGTGTGTGTGTATAGTGGGTGTGTGTAGTGTGCGTGTGTGTAGTGTGCGTGTGTGGTGGTGGTGGTGGTGGTGGCGGCGTGTGTGGTGTGTGTGGGCGGGCGGTTGGTGGGGGGGATGACGACGTACAGCATCACCTCGCCATTCCGCTCCATACCACCACTGCCTGCCTGCCTGCCTGCCTGCATTGACCCCGGCACGCCGCGCTGGGGTGCCTCCCCACCTCCCCGCCCGCCCCCCGCCGCTGCAGGAGCGGCAAGTGGGACCGCGCCGCGCGCTGCTTCCAGGCGCTGGCGCTGGGGGTCAGCGACAGGGGCCTGCTGCAGCTGTTTGGGGACGGCGGCGGCGCCGGGGGCGGCCCGCTGGATCTGGCCAACCGCCTGACAGGTGTGTGGTGGGTGTGTGGTGTGGGTGTGGTGGTGTGGTGGTGTGTGTTGAAATGGTGGTGGTGGTGGTGGTGGTGTATGTGTGTGTGGAAGTGGGGAGGGGAGAAGGGGATGGGGGCAGGTGGGACCTCAGACCTTGTCTTCTCCGGTGGGCTTGGGTGCCTCCCAGCCACACACAGCTGCTGCCGCCTGCTGGCTCGCCCCGCCCCGCCCCTCGCAGGGTTGCCCCCGGGTGTGGAGAGCCCCAACCACGCCGCCACCGTGGCTGCCATGCTGGAGGCGCATGCTCGGGACCCAGACGCCAGCTTTGCAGAGGGCCTGGGGCCCACCCCGGCCGCCGCAGCCGCCGCCAACGGCGCCGGAGACGACAGCAGCTCCGAGGAGGCGGAGGCGGCTGGAAGCGGCGGCGCGGGAGCAGCGCCTCGGGACCCAGTGGACTGGGAGGCGCCGCTGGTGGCGCCCCAGGGGCTGGCGGCAGCCCCAGGCACGGTGGCCGGCCTGGCGGCAGCCGAGGCCGCGGTTGCGCCCTGGGAAGGGGAGGGCCCGGCAGACGGCGGCAGCGGTGCGGCGGGTGGCGCGGCGGCGGGGCCCGGCGGCGGCGCCTTTGTGGGCGCGGCTGAGCGGCAGCGCCTCGCGGCGGTGGCCGAGCTGGGCCTGCGCTTTGCCGAGGCGGCGACAGAGAACGGCCACGAGGGTGGGTCGCTCCGCCTGCTCCGCGCCTCCTTCCTGCGGGCTCCTCGTTGCTGCCTGCCTGCCTGCCTGCCTGCCTGCGGTGGCCTGCCTGCCTGCCCGCCTGCCGTGGCATCGCGTGCTGCTGCCCCGCCTGGCTTACCTCGCCACCATCCAACCCCAACCCTGCCCCCGCGCCTGCGCCCCGCTGCCTGCCGCAGATGCCGCCTGCGCGGCGCTGGGAGTGCTGGTGCGGTCTGCGCACCTGCTGCCGCCTGCGCTGGCCGAGCAGCTGGTGCTCCGCATGGGGCAGTGCCGCATGACGGAGAGCGCCCGCAACCTGGCGGCGGCGGCGGCGGCGGCCAGGGCGCCCGGCAGCCTATCAGACCCGGCAGTCAGGTGGGCCTGAGGGCAGGGGGCGGGCGCTGCGAGGAGTGTGTGCCTTGTGGTGGGGTTGGGGGTTGGGGTGTCGGTGTTGATGATGGGACACGCTAGCAGGCAGAGAGGGCTCAAGGAGAGGGCCGCACAATTTCTTGCCGCGCTTTCCACAGTCTGCTGCCTTTGGCCCACCACCGCTGCCCGCCGGCCGCCCCTCCCTTCCTCTCTGCCCCGCCTACAGCTCCCTGCTGGCGGCGCTGGTGGGCGGCATGCACGGCCCCGCGGTGCAGGGCACGCTGCAGGCGGCGGGGCTGGCGCCGCTGGCTGCTGTCTATGCGACAGGTGAGGGTCCTGCGCGGGTTTACTTTTGCCCAGCCGATGTACCGCCATGTACCGCTGGCATCTGTGCCTGCATGCTGACGCTGAGCTGCCCCTGCCTCACCATTTGCTGGGAGCCAGCGCCGCCCTGCCTTACCAGCTGCTGCCCTCCCTCCCCGCAGTGTGGGGCAACGGCGACCGCGAGGCGGCCGTGGCCGACTGGCGGCGCCAGCTGGCGGCGGCGCACCCAGAGACGGCGGCCGCGGTGGCCGTCACCCCGCCCGTGGCGTGAGCCGCGAGGCCGTCCCTTCGCCCGGGTCTGTAACAACTGTCGGGCAGGCATCGCTGCTGCCCTAGGACAGAACACGTTGATTACAGGGCAGAAAAGGGGGGTTTAAAAATGGCTGAGCAACTTCCCCACACAAGCATGACAATGTCCATGGCAGGGACAGACGGACGGGGTGGGCCAGACTCCCAGCCCATTGGATCCGTCGCGGCTGCCCAGCTCCATGCGCCTCGCCCGCATCACCCCCAGCACCGCCCCAGCACGCCGTTTCCCCCCAGCCGGGCATCAACTGCCATCAACAGCCTGCCCCTGCTCCGAGCCGCAGCCTCACAGGCGCCGCAGGCTGAGCAGGAAGTCTTGGGCCTCCGAGAAGCGGGCCTGCATGCCGCTGATGAGCTCCACGGTGCTGCCGTAGCTGCGCTCCGCTGGCACGGCAGCAGGCGCAGCAGGCACAGCAGGCCCAGCGGGCCCAGCAGGTGCAGCCGGCAGCGGCCACTGGATCCCCCCTGCAGCAGGCGCCTGGCTGCTGCTGCTGCTGGGGGGCGCAGCAGCTCCCGCAGGCACTGGCGCTGCTGCTGCTGCTGAGGAGGAGGAGGAGGCCTGCTGGTCGTACAGGGGGTTCAGCCGCGTGTGCTGCCCACCGCCCGCCAGCGGCCCCAGCTGCCCCGGCGGCCGCGCTGCACATGCCCACCGCGGCCCTGCACCTGTAGCCGCCAGCCCCGGCTGAGCAGCCGCAGGGCTTGCCGCAGGCAGGCCCGCTGGCAAGCCCGCTGGCAAGCCCGCGCGCTGGCTACCGGCAGCGCCCCAGGGCAATTGAAGTGCGGGCTGTGGCTGGCCGAGCTGCATGTCGCAAGCCAGCTGCAGCTGCTGCTGAGACGGCCGAAGCTCATACCCCGCCTCAAGGAAGCGCACCCGCCCCTCCAGCACCGTCACCCTCGCCTGCAGCTGCTCCCGTGCCTGCTGCGCATCCTGCCTGCACTCGGGGCAGGGCGCCGGGCGGACATATTGCTTGGCAAGAGGAGGCAGGGCGGAAGGCAGTGCAGCAAACCCTAGCTGGCTGACCAAGCACAAGCACCCGAGGGAAAGCTCAAGACACACCTGGCGGCAGCGCTGGCTTCTTCCGCCAGCCCCAGCCGCAGCTGCAGGTCTTGTATAAGCCGCCACGTCTGCTGCTCGCAGCCGCTGGCAGCACCCTGCAGGCCTGCCACTGCCGGATGCTGCTGCATGGCTTGGACCGCCATGCACAGCGGCGGCGCTGGCTGCCCAGCTGCGCCTGCCTGCTGCGCTCCTGCTGCCTGCTGCGGCGGCGAAGGCTGCTGCTCATTTTGCAAGCCAAGTGGCAAGCGAGGTACGCCAGGCTGCGAGAGCTGTCCTTGCTGCATGTGCTCTGTTTGTGCAGGCATGGCTGCCTTGAGCTGCGGGTAGCTGCGCACCTGCAGACCGCCCGCTGCTGCATACCCTGCCGCTGCCTCCTGCAGGCCTCCTGGCCCCGGCTGCGCCCATGTGCAGCCATCGCTGCCTCCTGTGCAACTGTCAGCCTGCCGCTGCGCCAGCAGCAGGGAGGGCGGCAGCGAGCGAGGCTGCTCGATGGGTGATGCGGCAGGGGCCAGCTGGCTTGGCGCTGCCTTCAACTGCTGCTTGCTGCGCTGTTGGCATGCTGCGCCTGCTGCCGCCACTACAGAGGTTGGAGTCACAGCCGCAGCAACAGCATCAGAACCGCTCTGAGAGTCGCCGTCGTCGCCGCTGCTCAGCCCATGAGGTCTTGCGCTGGAGAGCTCTCCTGCTGCTGTCGCTGCCGCTGCTGCAGGCGCCTTTAGGTGCTCGCTCACCACCCGCACATGCGGCAGCGGCGGAGGCAGGGGTATGCTGCTGCACCTGCCGCGGCTGGCGCGCCCCTTTGGCTGCCCCGGCTGCTCCTGCGCCAGCTGATGCTGCTCTGGCGGTGCCGCAGCTGGTGCGCACAGGCGCTGCTCGGTGTGCTGGCCCTTAAGCGCTGCCAGCCGCTCCATCCTCGCCGCCGCGTTGTGGTGCTCCTTGCAGGCCTTGGCGATGCTCTGCACCAGCAGAACCTTGCGCTCCGCAAAGCCCTGCGGAGCAGGGGATGCGTGCGGCGGGCGCGTGGGGAGGTGGCTGTTGATCAGTGGGTTGAGGGTTAAGCCCTAGGGGAGAAAACCGCACATGCTTCTGTTTGATTGCATTTGATTGCATGGGTGTGACGAGCATCAGAGAGCATGCACTCATCAAGGCAATGTCCAAGCCCAGCGCCAAGCAGTGCCCACCCACCTCGGAAAGGAACTGCGCTGGCGTCAGCGGCGAGCGGATGCCCAGCGCATCCCTCACAAACTTGAACACGCCCTCCACAAACCTCAAGTCGCTCTTGCCGTGCAGCTGCGAGCTCAACGGCAGGGACCAAGGGTTGCTGGCGACAGTGGGAGGGGCGGGTGCAGCGCGGTGGCAGCGGCGGCGGCGGGGGCACACCTGCAAGCCTTGTTGTGCCACCAGCAGCGCCACGTGCTTACTGCAGCGCAGCAGCAGGTAATCCAGGGCGGGGAGCAGGGGCGCCGGGCTGCCTGCCTCCGCGGCAGCAGCGTCAAGAGTTGTGAAGCGGAGTGATCTCAGTGTAGACTCCAGGGCCGCCACGGCAGCCCTCACGTCTCCTGTGGCCATTGGCAGGCTGCAAGACGCGAATTGGGCTGCTGCGAGATGCAAACAGCCCTGGTCAGCGCGCCATTCCGCCGCTTTTCTTCCCGCCCTGCATTTTGCGCCCTGGCGCCGTCCTTCTGTGCAATTTGGCAGCCATGTCGCGCGAGAGGGACAGGTCCCGCGAGCGGGGCAGGGGAGGAAGCGACCGAGGCGGAAGTGAGCGGGGAGGGGATGAGAACCGGCAGTCCATCCTGGTTCGCAACCTGCCGCTGGATGCCAGGCGAGTGCAGCAACCGGTCTGGCAGCGTGCTGGCGCCGGCATCACGCCTCATCAACAACTCATGCCCTGGGGAGGCCCCTCCGCCCGCTCTGTCACCAAGGGAGCTCGCCGATTGGCGCACGGGGCCGCCCGCCAGCCCCGCCGCGGCTCCTGCCCCGCGCCGCCCTTGCCGCCGCCCCGCCGCCGCCCGGGCCCCACACGGCCCCTCTCTGCACCTTTCCTGCACGGCTGCAGGGCGGAGGAGGTTCGGGGCAAGTTTGAGCGCTATGGCCCGATCCGTGATGTCTACCTGCCAAAGGACTACTGTGAGCCTGCCGCCCTGCCTCTATGCTGCCTCTTTTGTTGCCCGCAATGGCGCCACGCCTTGCTTCGCCCTAGGCCCACAAAGCAGCAGCAGCTGCCAGGCGTAGCGTTGCGTCCGTGCGCCTGCCTGCTGCCGGGAAACGCCCACTGGCCGGGGGCAGCAGGTGCTGCTGCAAGCTTACCTGCGCACCCGCATGCCTGCCTGTGGCAGTGCCAGACTGAGGCAAGTGGGGAGCCGGAGCATGCCCAAAGCACCCCAAAGTCACCCTGTACAAGAAAAAGCCCTCAAGGCGCCTGTGGCAACCGGCATGGCCAGGCTGGCAGCCGGATTGCGCACTTGCGCCAGCAGCAGCGGCTGAAGAGGCCAAGAGTGCCCAGGCCTTTTCCCAAGCTGCACCGGTTCAAAGGAAGCTCAAGCCCAAAGGCTGGCCCAGGGCCCAAGAACATGCTCAAGCCTGGCCCAGGTCCTGAGTGCAAGTGCAAGGCTGGCCCAGTCCTCAGAGCAAGTGCAAGCTTAGCCCAGCCCTCAGAGCAAGCAAGGCCAAGCCACTTCACAAGCGTGGCCAAGCGCTGCCAGAGTGCCAGTGCAAGCGCCTGACTGCATGTGCAAGCTGAGGCAGCGAGGGCAAGCAGGGGGCCAGCAGCGCCCATGGTAGGTGGCAGGCAGCATCGCCGGCGCAGCCAGGCAGCCGTGCCTGTTTCTGATTTGTGGCTCATCCTCGCTAGCTTGGCTATGCCCGCCTTTCTGCGGTCTTGGTAGGCTCGGTAGACTCCTCATCGCAGCATTTCTTTTTTTATCCTCATCTTTTTTTATCCTCATCGCAGTTTTTATTAACCTTTCTTGCTGCCGCTGCCTGCCTCTCCTGCCCCCACCGCCGCTGCCTCCGCCTGCATCCCCAGTCCAGCATCCCCGCGCGCAGGCGCATGCCCGGCCCCCGCTGCCATGCCGCTGCGCCGCCGACCGACGCCCGCCGTGGCCCCGCCTTCCCCAAACGCTGGCCTGCAGACTCTGGGCGCCCCAAGGGCTTTGGCTTCATCGAGTTCCTGGACATCCGGGACGCTGAGGAAGCGATCTACAACCTGGACCGCACGATGTTTGGGGGGCGGGAGATACAGGTGCGTGCGGGGTGGGCTGTGTGGTGTGGGCAGGGCCGAACTATGTGCAGGGCCGACTGCGTGCAGGGGCCAATTATGTAGCCTGTGGCGCTGCGCAGGGAGCATGTCGGGGCGCCATGCCTCTTTCTGTCGTTCCTGTGCGCTGCGCCCGCCCGTTAGGGGCAGCAAATGCGACGGCTCTGTGCTGCATCATACACGTACCTTGAACTGCGGCTCTGTGCCTCCTTTCTACCTGCCTTCCTTTCCTCCCTGCAGGTGGTGATGTCCAAGGAGTCCCGCAAGACGCCTCGCGACATGCTGGACCGCGAGCGCACCGGACGTGAGTGGGCGGCCGGGGCAGCGGGAGGCCTGCCGGGGAGGGGCCGGCAGCGGGAGGGCCCCGCCAGGAGGGGCCCCTGCAGCTGCAGCCCGCGCAACCGTGGCGCTCCGGGGCGCTGCGGCGGCGGTGGAGCTGGCTGGCGGTGCGGCGCTCCCTTGCAAAGCGGCGTGCTGCTGCTCTCCTCACGTGCACGCTTGCATCGTTTCTAGCTGGTGCAGGCGGGCCGCCCCCGGGCCGGCGCGGCGGCTATGACGACCGTCGCGGCGGCAGCGGCGCCTACGGCGGTGGCGGCGGCGGCCGCAGGGGGTACGACGACCGGCGGCGCAGGTCTCCCAGCAGGTGCGTGGGTGGCTGGCACAGTAGAGAAGGCTGTGGTCACAGGAGCAAGTAGTTGTTGTTGCATGCTGAGGGAGTTGAGGGTGCCGAGCCGGGGAGCACGCAGGAGCTGAGCAGTGGGCTGAGGTTGCTTGCGTATGCGTCTATTGCCCTGCCGGTGCAGGTCTCGGAGCAGGGACAGGCGTCGCAGCCGCAGCGGCGACAGGCGGCGGCGCAGCCGCAGCCGCAGCCGCGACCGGCGCCGCGCCAGCCGCAGCAGGAGCCGTGGGCGCAGCCCAGCGCGCTCGCCCAGCCGCAGCCGCAGCCGCGGCCGCAGCCCGGCGCGCTCGCCCACCCGCAGCAAGAGCCCGGCCAAGAGCGCCAGCCGCAGCCGGTGAGTGCCCGCGGCCAGCTGGGCGCACGCTACACCCTGCTCGACCGCGCCGCCACACCTTGCACCGCGCTTCTGACCTGTCACCTGCCCTCCTGCCCTCCCGCCCCATCCTGCCCGCGTACGTCTGTGCAGCTCTCGCGGCCCGGCTCGCTCCGCCAGCCGCTCACCGCCGCGCCGCTCCGCCTCGCCGCCCGCCTCCATCGGCGGCGATGCCATGGCTGACGAGTGATGGGACCCGGGGGCGTGGTCAAAGCCCGCCCTGCAGGTACACACTGCACGACCACCGCACCTCCCACCCAGCCAGCCAGCGTCGCTGGTGCCGCCAGTGTTTCCCTGCGCCTGTGCCACTTTTTATTGAATGCTGTGCACGCTAGCTGCGGAAAACCGCATGCTTATCTCCACCCCTGCCCTCGCTTGTTGGTGCCTTTCGTGATGTGAAACCAGGCCCGTGTGTGAATCACAATCCATTGCCCAGGTCAGGTGGAGGAGGCAGCAGTTCAAGAGCAGGGGATAGGCGGCGACAGCAGCGCCGTTGCCGCCAAGGGCAGGGCGGTGCCATGTCAAGAACTGTGGCAACCCTCATGCATGAAGGCCGCGGGCAGGATCATGCGCATCCCACAGGTGTCGTGCTCTTTTCAGCGGCTGCAGTCGCCGCACGCACCCTTCAGAGTGGCATTTCGCAACCGGCATGTCGGCCTGAAGCGAGCTCACCGCGTTACGCAACTGGCACGCAACTCTACAGATGTTTGGAGGGCGAGGAAGGGGAAGAGGTCGCGGTGGGCGAGGAGGTGGCGGCGGTGGCCGGGGCAGGAGCGGCCCTCGCCTTCCTGTCAAGCTCAGCAAGGAGCTGTTCGGCGAGGGAGCATCGGGCGGCGGCGGGAGCACCCGAGGCCAGCCGCCGCGCAAGGAGCGGCGCAAGGCGGAGCGTGAGGGGCGGCGAGGTGGCGGCGGCAGCGGTGCACAGGCTGGCGGCAGGCATCCCCGCCAGCAGGAGCTGCGTCCACAGCAGCAGGCAGCCAGGGGGGGCAGAGGCCGCGGGGGCAGGGGCTCGGATGGCCCCGCAGCCAAGCGCCAGAAGCTGAGCGGCGCGCCGCCCGGCGTGGAAGGCGGCAGCATGTTTGAGGAACTTCTGCCGTCGCACCTGCAGGCAAGGAAGGGGCGGCCCTCACCACTGGATGCTGCATGTTGCCTCCTCTGGCATGTGAAACATGATCAAGAAGCGCCCTGTTATCTCTTCCGTGTTGCACAGTGCCGGCCGCCATGCACCGCCTTTCTCAGCGGGTGCACCTGCTGCCAACTGCTCGATTGCACCCCCGCTGGCTGGCCCGCAGGCGGGAGCAGCAGGGCGGGACCCCGAGGCCGAGCTGCAGCTGCAGCTGGCGCGCAAGCTGGGGCTGAAGAAGGGCAAGACCAAGATGGGTGGCGAGGACGGGCTGGATGAATTCCTGGAAGGTGGGTGGCGCCGGGGCGGTGTGTGTATGTGTGGAGGGGAGTTGGAGTGGACCTGATGCGCTTGGCGCTGTGCAATGCTGCGGTGCTGGTGTCGTGGCAGCCGGGCGCTGGTCTCTTCCCTCTTCTCTCCGCCTGCTGCTGCGCCTCCTGTGCCTGCTGGCGCCAACCCGTGCTGCCCCCGCCGCCACGCCACGCTTTGCCTGCAGAGCTG